TTCATACTGAACAGTTGTTCTTAGTAAACCAAACAGGAATAATGTGCCCAGAATATTATAACAACCCTTCAGGGGGTCTGCGAGCGGAGCCATTAAATTTCTCATCTCCTGCTGAATCGCATTTAAAATCTCGGAAACGCGCATTTATCTTTTATTGCATCATCCCTTCGGCATTTCGAAGATAAGAGTTTAATGGGGAAAGCGAAAGTGTTCTCCCCCCCGTTCTTATCCACCCTTATGATTTCTGGCTTGAGATGATGTTGTGAATCAGTTGATTTGGAAGATCAAGATGGTACTGCGAAATGATGAGCACTTATTTTTTTACCAGTTTGAAAAGTTTTGGTTAAGATAAATATTATAACTGAAACTGGGTTCTTTTTATTTCAATAGTCTTATATTTAATTATTTAACGTTGAACGCCAGCAAAAGAAGGAGCAAGAGATGCATGGATTAAATATTCGACTTTTGTAAACCTGGCTAAAATTTTTGTTCCTTATTATGCTTTCTTCATAACACGTTTTACTGGAAACCTTCTAAAGAGTTGTTTTCTAATAACAGAGTAAACAAAATGCCTCCCGTAACGTGGCTCCTTCTCATTTGCTAATTATTGTAACATTTTTCCCATGGAAAGAGTTGTAGCATTCCGTTCCTAGGAGAGAGGATTGTATATTCTTTAACTTGAGAACAACCTGTCACTCAAATCTGATAGCAGATATTCGATATCATGTATTGTGAGACTCAGGAAATTAGCTATTATCTGTGCGACCTTCACAGGTCGAAACAATTATTGATGGGATATGGACTACACCATGAGTTGTTGAATCGTGATGGGTGATAGACCATGAACGGAGAAAGTGTTGACTCCAATGAGAAGTGAGGGGAGCTGAGACCTCCTCCCTCCCTCTTGACAGATTTTCTTAAAGGGAGGTTTCTGCAGAAGAAAGGGAGAGTTCTGCGACGAGTCAATAAACAGTGTTTTTGTGTTGTTTTTTTCTTCTATGAAATAACAGAACAGACACCGGATTCTTAGAGGAATAGTGGTTGGGACATCAACTCAGCAGGCTCGTAATTCAAGGCAAAATAACATATCTGGCTCTCATTAAAAAAAACTCATGTTGGGGAGCTCATAATTCGACGTATCACTGTACTTTAAGTCATTTAACTGCACGATAGTTTTACTGTTATTTCTTTTGCATGAGGGGCGGCCTGATGGCCGATTGGCTAGTGCTCTGGCTTTTGGTACCACAGGTTTCAGGTTCGAATTCTGGCAGTGGCATGGATGTTTGTGAGGGATTCGGAATCCATGTTAAACTGTAAGTCCCGATCTAATTAGCCTAAAGTGTGCAAAAATGACCGTAGAGCGCCAAACCAAACCAAATCTTGCACAAGAAAGATGTAAATTATGCTTTAAAAAAGTTTTTCTGAGATGTGAGCATATTTATTTTACTTAAAAACAATCTTGACTCCTTAAAATAGTTTTCTGATCATTAAGAGTTTTTGATGATTCATAAATCTTAGTCAATCAGGAAAGTGAAAAAAAAAAACAACTTTTTATTGTTAACTCTTTAAACACATCTATGGGCAGAATAAATCTTCTCTTCCAAAAGAGTTTTTTAAATAAATAATTTTTTTAAAAAGCTGTTTTAAATAAAGCATTTTTTTAGATTATAAAAATATTTCTCCATTTTTTTTATGACGAATAAAAAAAAAGTAAATAGATCGTTTTCATGTGCTTAGTGATTCAACGCATAAGTTGAAACACTCAAAACGTAGATCGAGTCATAAAAGTTTTCTTTAAAAAAAAAAAAAAATGAACTTGGAAAAAAAATGAAGAAAAGAAATATATATATACATAAAGAAACACCATCTTTCTTAGAGATTTTTACTTAATACATACCATCGGAGCAAATGATGAATTATTAAATAAGTCTTCGAAGAACTAAACGTAAAAAGTCAAAACAGAAAAAAAGAAAAGAAAAAAAAAAAGGTTAAAGTGCTACCAGAGACAAGTGTCTGTGGTAGCACCGCTGTAGAAATATATTATTTCTCTTCCATAATATGTAAATGGAGTGAAATGAAGAAAGCGAAATACATCTCAACCCTTCTCGATCTACGTATTATTTGAGTTGAGTTGAGTTGTCCCTCGCTTCTATTTCCTTTTTGGAGAGAAAGTGTTCTAGATTCTTCACACACACACAAAAAAAAAGTAGTTTAATGTAAATGGAAGAAGGAAAAAATCTTATATACCTTTCAGGAATTTTTTTATTTTTTATGCGTGGGGTATATTTGACTTGAGGGGGTGGGTGATGGCAGACGATCGTTAAAGATCTATTATTGTGGTAGGAAAAAATGTTTTTCCATCTCTGAATTATTCACCTCTCTCTCTCTGTTGAGTGAGGGGTGGATGTACCAGTGTCGTTTGACGTTTTAATTTTCGTCTGCAAAAATTTTAAAAAGGGTTCGTTTGAGAGGGTGTGATGACAGAAGGCATTTTTCCGCACAATCTCCGTTATTAAGGGATGAATAATTTATCTGGCTCCTTATTCTTTGGTTACTTACCTAACGTAAGGTGTACTTTAAGAATTCACCCTCTGATTTTTTTTCTTTTATTGTTCGTCTTGGTTCTTTTATGTTTTTATTTTCTAGGCAGCTTGGTTATTACCTGATGCTTTATCATACCCGAGATTTGTGGGAAAGTAATCGTCTGCAAAAATTGAGTATTTGGATAAACTGGACTGGGGAACTTTAATTGATTTTTGTAATTATGTGCTTTTAAGCTTATGTTATTGTCAATCAGGAAAGTGAAAAAAAAAAAACTTTTTATTGTTAACTCTTTAAACACACCTTTGTTTTGTGAAAGAGTTTCTATGGGAAAAAATGTACAATATGTGGTATTTTTTTAAAAAGCAGTTATTTTTTATGTTTTTTAAACATAGATATGTAAATACTAAATAATTCTAATAAAAAATTGAAATGTCTTATGGTATAAAAATTATTTTTTCTCCCCTTCTAAAGACATGGCCATTGATTATTTCTGAACAAATAAACATCTTTTTGTTTTTTGCTTGCTGCATCATGAATATTTGTAGCTTTTTGGCAAGAGACCAAGGGTCAAAAGTAGATCATAGAATCCTTCTGTAGTTCTGTAGTTAGAATTCCTTATGTTTCCATTTTGTCAAGAGACCAAAGGTCAAAAGTAGATCATAGAATCCTTCTGTAGTTCTGTAGTTAGAATTCTTTATGTTTCCATTTTGTCAAGAGACCAATGGTCAAAAGTAGATCATAGAATCCTTCTGTAGTTCTGTAGTTAGAATTCCTTATGTTTCCATTTTGTCAAGAGACCAAAGGTCAAAAGTAGATCATAGAATCCTTCTGTAGTTCTGTAGTTAGAATTCCTTATGTTTCCATTTTGTCAAGAGACCAAAGGTCAAAAGTAGATCATAGAATCCTTCTGTAGTTCTGTAGTTAGAATTCCTTATGTTTCCATTTTGTCAAGAGACCAAAGGTCAAAAGTAGATCATAGAATCCTTCTGTAGTTCTGTAGTTAGAATTCCTTATGTTTCCATTTTGTCAAGAGACCAAAGGTCAAAAGTAGATCATAGAATCCTTCTGTAGTTCTGTAGTTAGAATTCCTTATGTTTCCATTTTGTCAAGAGACCAATGGTCAAAAGTAGATCATAGAATCCTTCTGTAGTTAGAATTCCTTATGTTTCCATTTTGTCAAGAGACCAAAGGTCAAAAGTAGATCATAGAATCCTTCTGTAGTTCTGTAGTTAGAATTCCTTATGTTTCCATTTTGTCAAGAGACCAAAGGTCAAAAGTAGATCATAGAATCCTTCTGTAGTAGAATTCTTTATGTATCCTGTTTTCAAAAGTAGATCATAGAATCCTTCTGTAGTAGAATTCCTTATGTTTCCATTTTGTCAAGAGACCAAAGGTCAAAAGTAGATCATAGAATCCTTCTGTAGATACATGAATGATTCAAAATCTTGGTTTCTGATCTATATTCTATAACATTAGATGTCCAACAACCTTTCCAATATTCTACGATATCCTTATGCAGATTGGCAAAATCTCTGTAAAAAAAGTTTTTACAATTCTTCTGCGTAGTCGCTGCATATTAAAGTAATGCGTGACAATTCTTTTTCTTTCATGTGACGCGTAGATAGATTTTTTTCGTTACTCCACCCCCTGAAAAATTTTTTCCGTCCCTCTGCCCCGTTTAAGGGGGTGGCACTTTCTGTGCATTGTGTATTCATGCATGGCGGCAGTGTGCTTCAGAGATTTCCTGCAAACCTCCCTCCCACCCCTCTTCCTTCTGTCCGGAATGGCTGTCGCTTCCGGCGAATGCAGACGATACTTTACGGAAAGGGGGGTGGTTCCGGAATTTTTTTTTCTCTCTGTTCTTTCCACTTTTCCTATTTCGTGTCTTCCATTTTGCTGGTGTGCGTGGAACAGATCGGAAATAGAATTCATTTTCTCTTTCCTATTCCTTCCTTTCTTTTTCGCGTGCACGATTGGGAGATATATTTTTCCTGCTTCTTATTATATGACTTTTTCTTTCTTTTTTCCAAGATGGAGGGGGGTTAGGACTTTTATTTGACTGCTGACTTTATTGCACAAAAGTTTGATTTTCATTGCTGATTTTTCTAAAGTTAAGATTATTTAGTTTCTATAGTATATTGTTTTCAAACGTAGGTCATTAAGAGCGTATAAAGCATTGAATACTTGTGTTTGTTGTTTCTTATCCCACTTTGCTGGCCAAGCCCACGAGCCCATACGTACTCATGATTGAAGGGGAAGGAAGCAGCTTCTGTTGTGATGGAGCACCCCGTAGGTAGAAGTCTGACTTTGGCTCTGTGACGGTCATATGAGTCCGGGACCTACGGCTTAAAGTGGATTCCGAACCACTACAAACATCCATGGCACCGCCGGGATTCGAAACCTGTGGCACCGAGCGCCAGACACTCGGCCATTCAGGTCCCGAATTTGTGAATGCCAACGGCACGCGGTGTTCCCAGGTGGTCACCCACCCCACCGCGCCCGATGATGCTTGACTTTGGTGATCTAACGAGAACCGGTATATTCAGCATGGTACGGCCGTATACTTGTTATCGTTGTAATTATCGTACAATTGTAATTTAACATAGAGTAGGAAATATATCATGCATCATTATTTGCATCATGTCTTAAAATGATGCATATTTCAGGCAATTCTTATTTGACAATTTTTGATTTACATTCTCAAATTATTCACGCAATTTTTAGTCGATTTCTTCAGACCATACATGAGTGGCGTGATGTCCAATCGGCTTGTGCTCTGGCCTTTGGTACCACAGGCTTCAGGTACCTGGCGGTGCATGGATGTTTGTGAGTGATTCGGAATCCACATTAAACTGTAGATTCCGGTCTAATTATTCTAAAGTGTGCACAAAATGATCATAGAGCGACAAATCAAACTAGAGCTCTAGGCTTTGGTACTTTATGTTCGAAAGATGATGGTGATATGGATGTTTGTGAGTGATTCTGTATCCACGTTAAAATGTAGGTCCCTGTCTAAATAGCACAAAGTGTGCACAAAATGACCGTAGAACGACAAACCGACCATGAAGTTATTCACACCACTTTTAGTCCATTTTTTTTGGGCTATACATGATCAATTTAAATGTAAAAACTCAAAACTTTAACAATTGTGCACAAAGGTTTTCAATTGTGACTTACAAGAAATACCATTCATATGATTTGTTCATCGAGTCTTAATTAGTTAACTGGAAAGTTATCAAACAGTTTATTCTGTTTCTTCGAAGCAACAATGTATCCAGTCATTTGCGGCCTGATGGCCGAGTGGCTAGAGCTCGGCACCACAGGTTGCGGGTTCAAATCCCGGCGGTGCCATGGATGTTTGTAGCGGTTCGGAATCCACTTTAAGCCGTAGGTTCCGGTCTCATATGACCGTCACAGAGCTCAAACAGACTTCTCACCCACATCATTCTCAAACTGTATAGGGGCAACTCAGCTCTAGGCTCAGTGATGTGGTGTAATGCAGTAATAGCAATAGTATCCAATCATACGTTATTGAAGCATTGCGCAAATGCTTTAAGTAATTCACCATTTTAAATGTTAAAAGTGAGGCAGTTAATATTGATGATGAGTTCCATACGGAGTGATATAACACATTTATTCTAAACATCATTTTAAGAATTCTTTAGATTTCTTCTTCCTTTGAAAACTGGCCATAAAATCTGTTTGCTACCAAAAAGATATTCCTATTTGCCATTAATAGAATGCCTCTTACATGATGTGTTTTAAATGGTATACAGATCTTATCCAAATTTTGTTTTTCATACCTTGGATGTGTATAACTTCCTAAGAAGCTATCCTTTTTGTTATTGGTAGACCTTTTGAAATGGAGCATCCCATATGTATGATTGTTTAAGTTTCCGTTCCTAAACGTTAAGGATGGATCAAAAACACTCTTGACTCTCGCAGAATATTAATGCCGCCAACAAAACAAATCACGTCTCGAAAAACTATCTCTGCCCCCAACTACTACAATGCAAAATAACTTTTCCTCTGGATCTGATACATACTTATGCAAATTGCCCGTCTCTTTTAAATACGGCCCCATCTTACTTTTTAGTCTGGACGTCTTCTCAAAATTTGCAATTCAAATTGATTTTATGGAAAGGAATCCTTTCTTTGTTTGTTGATCGGGGGATGATTTCGACGACTGTTATCTCTCTTAACTGCAACCGTCACGTTTTCTTTGGGGAGGCGTCACTCTTGTATAAATGCGCGTTAATTCAAAAGTTCGAAAATTTTTGGAATTGATTTCGAATTCCATTAATGTCGATCACGTATTCATGAACTGGCCCTTTTCTGTTTTGCAAGCGACAAAGGCAAATTCTGGAATATCGCTGGAGCATAAGGAGGAAATGATGTCGGAATTTTGAAATCAAAGAAATATGTCGTTGAAAGTTATTGTTCACTTTTTATTTTTTATTGATAGTTTTGCTTGTGTTTTGTAAAAATGAGATGCTTTTTTGTTTTGTGCTTTATTTGGTTTGATAATGATTGGAGATGTTTTAATGTCAGTACCACATTTTCATCTTAATATGCTTAGTTTTTGAAGTGCTTGTGTTTCCATGTAAGTTATTGATATTCTTCTCACCATAGTTATTTGCCATCCCATGGTTCAGTCAATACAACGTTGTGTATCGGCTCGGCCTATACTAGATCTATAAGGGCTTCAAGAAAAGGGTCACTTTCAGTTTCATGGGATCCTTTAAATTTTATTTACAAACATTATATACATATATATGCAGAACTCTATTTACAAAAAGTATGAAAATCAAGGATATAAATTAGAAACACAATACAATTCACTCTAAGTTGGGAGATTCTCAGTGTTCTCGAGTCAGTGCACCTTGTCTGCGCAGACCTTGATTATCACAAGCGTGTTACACGAAACCTGAAGGGAATCGCTTTGAAAACAGGCGTAAACTCCGGCTTGTTCAGTCAGAACACTTTTTTTCCCTCCTTCTTCAAAAACCTCACTTTTAGAAAACCCGTCAAGGGGGTTCGCTTCCCTCACTTCTCCTTGGAGTGGACACTTCTTCAGCCTATGGTCTATAACCAATCCCGATACAGAAACTTATCACGTTACGGGTTCGGTTCCAGTTTTTATTTAATTATTACTACGTTACCATTTTGCACACGCATTTTTTTTTAAGGGAATCAATTTGACCACGAATTTGCAAATCCTGCTCTCTATTAATAAATTTACAAATGTAAAATATTGTTTTTATGATAACTAAATGATCTAATACAAAACATAATTTTGATTTGTTTATTCATTATGAAATAACATCATTTTCTATAGAATCTAAACTCAACTTTAAGGCCTAACTTCTATGAAAATTTCATTTTATGCTCTAAATATCACACTTTTTTAATAACAGTAATTTTTTCTCAATGTCAATTGATTTTTATTTCATATGAATTAAGGAAACACTATTTTACCTTTTTTTATAAAGCAATATTCCAATAATATGTTAAATGTTCAATGGCGCTTTTTACATTCGTTTTTAAGCGCTAACAAATTTATTAAAATTATCTTTCAATATTAGATAACTTTTTTCCTGTAAAAAGCACCGTAAATATCTATAGAAAGACTGCTTCAAAAAATCATAAGTTTATATTTTCGCTATACAAATTATTGTAAAAACTGTGTACGGTGTTTGAAAAGTGTTTTCTTTTAAAATAGTCAAGCCTTAAAAATAAATCGAAAATTAATTAAATTTTTCTTGTTACATATTAAATATTATATTATTTACGTCGAATAAATCTATTAAGAAATATTTTTTAATCAAACATGCAATATTATAAACATGTACATTGTATAGTTAAGAGAATTTTTATCGCAATTTTTTATAAAAAAGTAAACGAAAGTTTATTTTAAAAGAAATATTAATTACATTGTAATTTTGATGTAGTAATTTTATTTTCATTTTTATGAAAATAAAATTAAAATATTAAAAGATAATAAGATATTGAGATAATAAAATTAAGATATCACGATATTTTTTGTGTTGCATATTAAATATTATATTATTTTCATAGAATGAATCTATTAAAAAATATTTTTTAATCAAACGTGTAAAATAATAAACACGTAGATTGTATAGTTAGAGAATTTTTGTACTAATTTTATATAAAAAAATAAATGAAAGTTTACTTTGGAAAAAAACATTAATTACATTTTAATTTTGATGTAGTAAATGATTTTGATGCTTATAATATATTATAAGCATCATTTTCAAATCTTAATTAAAACACAAAGTCACTTTCAAAAATATTTGTTAAAAAAAGATTTCTAGGGTTTTTCGTAATTATTTTACTAATTTTATAAAACAATTTAATGACACAAATTTTTAATCAAAAGAAGAAATTCATTTCCAATTGAACACTTTTATTATTCCTTCTTTTAAAAAATAAAAAATCGTTTGGCACTATACTGATGCCATTCAAATAATTAAAATCATTTCACGTGCAATTAAACTTGAAAATAATACTCCTAGAAACAGGCGGAAAAAAGGAATAACAAAAACTGATTTTTATTATCTTTTCTTTAGTTCTTCTGTGAAATAAGTTTGTCTGTATGCCCATTGTATTCAATTCCGTGTATTTTAAAATGTATTTTTTCTATGCGTGTTTGTGGATTTATTATTTTTCAATTATTTTAAAAATTAATTAATTATTTAAAATTATTAATTTAAATTATTAAATTATTTAAAATTATTAATTATTTTTTTATTCTGCTAAATTTCTCGATTCTAATATCTTCTAATATAATTTCAAAGCGTATATTTTCAAATCTTAATTCAAAAAATCTTTTATTTTTTTAACAAATATTTATAAGGGTTTTTTTATTTTATTAATTTTAGAGAACACTTTAATGAGACAAAAGAAGAAATTCATTTCCAATTGAACACTTTTATTAATACTTTTCTTTAAAATAAAAATCGTTTGACGCAATAGTGATGCCATTCAAATAATTAAAATCATTTCACGTGCAACTAAACTTGACAAATAATATTCTACTAGTAGAAGCAGATGAAAAAAAAAAAAAAAAAAAAAAAAGGAATAATAAAAACTTAATTCATTTTAATCTTTTCATTAGTTCTTCTGTGAAATAATTTTTGGTTTGATTGTATGCTATTGTGTTCTATTCCTTATAATTTAAAATGAATTTTTCTATGTTTGTGGATTTATTATTTTTTAATTATTTTAAAAATTAATTAATTATTTAAAATTATTAATTTAAATTATTTAATTATTTAAAGTTAAGATTATTATTTTTTTTATTGTACTAAATAAAAAAATTTTATTTAGATTTAATTAAAATTTTATTATTTAATTTTAAATGTCTCATTTCTAATATCTTATGAACATCTATTTTCAAATCTTAATTAAAAACAGGAAGTCACTTTCAAAAATATTTTTTTAACAAATATTTTTGCCTTTTTTTTTTTTACAGAACAATTTTTAATCAAAAAAGGAAATTCATTTCCAATTCAACACTTTTATTATTCCATTTTTTTTTT